AAAAATCTGTCCCATGCCTTTCTCTTATCTCTGGTATTACTGTCAATCCTCAGTGTTCCAATCTCTGCTTCTGTAATCACTTGGATTTGTCCCTCTGTATTTGTCCCTGGCAACTCTCCCCTTATACAGACTTCAGTCATATTGGATTGGGTCCTACTCTAATTGAATATGTCCTCATTGTAACTTGATTACATCTAAAAGAAGACCCCATTTCCAAATAAGATTACTGAGTGTTTTTACTGGAACGTATCTTGTTGGAAGACAGAGACTTCAACCCATCACAATAATCAATAGTAGAATGAAAATAATCCACGACAGAAGTTGGAAGAAGGAACTCAGATACATTAGCAGCTGTGATCCTTTGGGTCTTATGCTTGCACACTAGTTACATACAGCAATTATACAAGCTCAAACTATTTGTGATTTAACAACATTGCCATTTCTCTTGGAAACATTTTCCTGTTGACTTATTATTCCAGAAGACTTCTCGGTGAATCTCATATCAGAAACCATCAACAAATTGACACTGGGTTTGGCTGTTTATTTAATACTCAATTGCTGAAATATCAAGTGACAATGCCAATGGTATGACTGAATCATTATCTTTTTTTTGAATCTTAAAGAAAACACTTTTGTGATCAAACCTTTTATGTCTTTATGGCAATTTTACTTTAATAGGTTGTTTAAATGTAAAGTAATAAAGTTAATAGCATTTACTTTAAGTGGCTTACCTCATATGCTCTTTACGATGACTCAATAAGGTGAAGACTGCTGTTATTCTTTCTACACGTGACCAAGCTCTGGCTTTGGGTGTAGGTGACCTGTCCAAGTGCTTCCCTGTAACTGGGCAAGCTGGCTTTGGACCTGACAGTCTGACCTTACAAGCTCTCACCCTTGATTCTACATATTGTGGGGGGGGGGGTTTCTATTCAAGGTCCATGAAATTGCTCATAAGTATGTGTTTTTTAAACTTTCCTATTTTGAGATTATTATCAATTCACAGGCAGGTGAGAGAAATATTTCAGCTGGGTTCCTTGTATCTTTTTTTTCGACTCACTTTATTTTTTTATTTTAAAATATATTTTATTGATTTTTTTTACAGAGAGGAATGGAGACGGATAGAGAATTAGAAACATTGATGAGAGAGAAACATCGATTAGCTGCCTCCTGCACACCTCCTATTGGGGATGTGCCCCCAACCAAGGTACATGCCCTTGACTGGAATGGAACCTGGGACCTTTCAGTCTGCAGGCCAATGCTCTATTTATTGAGCTAAACCAGTTAGGGCACCTTGTGTATCTTTTAAAAAATATATATATATTTTTGTTGATTTCAGAGAGGAAAGGAAGAGGGATAGAAAGATAGAAACATTAATGATGAGAGAGAATCATTGATCGGCTGCCTCCTTAATGCCCTCTTCTTGGGATTAAGCCCTCAACCCAGGCATGTGCCCTTGTCCGGGCATCGAAACTGGGACCTTTCAGTCTGCTGGCCGACTCTATCTACTGAGCCAAATCAGCTAGGCCTTCCTTGTATTTTTTACTCAGTTTCCCCCAATGGTAACATCTTGCAAAAGCCATACTATTATATCTCAACCAGTACATTAATCTTGATACTGTCCAGGTACAGACCATTTCCATCACCACAAAGATCATTCCTGTTGCCCTTTTGGAGTCACTTCCTTCTCCCTCCTCTACAAACCTTTCTTAGAGTGACTCAGTGAGGTAAAACCTGGCAACCGCTAATCTGATCCCCATTCCTATAATTTTGTCATCTCAAGAATATTATATAAATGGAATTATGTAGCATTTAATCTTTGAGGATTGATTTTTTTTTTCTTTACTCAGCACAATTCTCTGCCTATCCATCTAGGCTATAACATGGATCGATAGCTTGTTCACGTTATTGCTGAGAGTATTCCTTAGAATGAGTGTACAAAGTTTGTTTCATATTCACCTGTTGAAGGATATTTGAATTATTTCTAGGTGGAGCTATTACGAATAAAGCCATTAGAACATTAATGGACAGTTTTTGAGTGAAGGTAAATCTTTTTTTTATTTCTCTGGGATAAATTCCAAGAGTGCAATTGCTGTATCACATGGCATTTGCATATTTAGTTTTATAAATGAAACTGCCAAACTGTTTTGAAATCTAATTTTTTATACTTTGTTTTGTGTCCTTTGTATTTACATACTTAATGTTTGGAAATTATACTTTCCAAAAATGACATTAAACATTTAGTAACAAGTGCAGTCTGTAATGGTTTTGAGGCATGGATGTGAGCCTCTTTTTATACAAAACTATTTTTCTGGAATGAGTCACTTAACTAGTATGTGAGCCTAGCACTTTGTTCAGCTTTTCCATCATAGCAAGATTTTATTTTTCTTTACTCATTAACTCTATCATGTATGTTCATGTACTTTCTAGGAGTGTTTAATGGTTATTAATAAAATAATGTGCTTTCATATGTCTGAAGGCATACCCAATTAATTTTGTTCTTAATTTAAGCCCTTCAAATATTCAGTGATTGAACTCTTAAGAGTTTAATATTGTCTGTCTAAATACAGGTGGTATTTTATTGCAGTACCCATTCATACAAGTGCTATTACCTTGCTGTTCTCCTTTAAAATTTCTTTGTAGATTGTTCCTTCACAAAACAGCCTTTGCTGTGTTTTTGGTTATTCTAGAAATGCAAATTTATGCATAACTCTAGACTATGGTCAGAGTATGACTTTTTTAGCAGGACAATATCAAGTATATTTATTTCTTATCTTAAACACTTGTACACTTATCTCAACTTCCATGTCCAGAGCTATTGCATTTTTTTTTATCATGTATTTTTCCGTGGCACCCTGGACATTTTGGCCCAGTTAGTTCCTTAATATGGGTGCTGTAGTGTGCATCAAAGTGTGTTTAGCAGCAGCCCTGGCCTCTACACAGTACATGCCAGTAGCATGAACATACTGTGTCTTTGTTCTTATATCAGGTTTAATCTTTAGGTTCTTGATATTTTCAGACTGCCAGTGAAAATTCTGAGCCTGGAGATAGGAAGAGGATCATCTCCGCTGAAATTGTGAAGTGGACTCTTAATTTTGCTCCTCAGCTCTGCTTAGTACCATAGATGTTGGAACATTTTTGGTCCTTTGCTGCCCAGCGAAACTTGTGTCCCTATTGTCCATTCCTTTTCAACTTTTTTTTTTTGTATGATTAGTGGCTTCTGTTACATATTGTGAGCTAAGGAATAAACAAATGGTAATGGTTCCTAGGGGACCCTCCCAAATCTGATTTGAATTTTGATAGGCCTGAATCTGAAAAGGCTGAGGTCAGTGGGCAATTGAAACTTAGGGCCAGGCTTCCCATATGAAAACCTGTAAAACTGTTTCCCCACCCTGCATTCTAATAACTATGTGTGGCTTCAGATGGGTACTAAACATACCACATGATGATTTTGTAAGTTATAAAAGTATCTAAAACTAACATAATGTATGTCAACTGTAATTGAAAACTTTTTAAAATTATTAAAAAAAAAAAAACACACGAAAAATACATGAAATTAGGGCCAGGCCGCTGACAAAGATGCTTTTGGTCAAATTAGCCTTTCAGGGCTATAGCAAGCACATCATCGAGTTGTACTTTATTTGAATCCACACTATGGCGATCATGATTTCAGAAGCCTGGGAAGGCCCTTATTTGACTGAGATAAAGTCCAATCCAGTATCTCACACGCTGAGTGATTGAATGCTTAACATTGTGGGGCATTGTGAAGGATGAGGTGTGAGCTTGAATAGGCAGATTTTGAATCCTGGGAGAGATACCTGAATTATCTTAATGTCTTAAATTTCTTCACTACCCCTATGCTGTCAAACTCTCAACTCTCAGGAGTCCTTGCTTTGAATCATCTCTTGAATACACTTGTCACTTCTTCACTGGGTATTTGAATGCTGAAAGACTAGACACTTGTCTCTCCTCCATTCTCCGCTGCCAGACTAATTGTTCTAAACACAAGTTTTCTGAATCACAGAACTCTCCTGTGTCCCTCCACACCTGTCTGTTGTATATATTCAGCGTTATCTCCTACTCCTACTCAAAGGAACCTGCTTTTTAGCAGACCATGTTTTTTCACTAGGTCCTGAATGTACAAGCTCATACCTATTCTGGGCGCTTTGTGTGTTTTTCAGTCTTGTGTGGGATGAAAATGTTCATTCTCATCACATGAATGTATTCTTACTTAGTACCCCAGGTTTAGCTGAAGCCCATACCCTACACAGGGATATCTATAACTCCTGTATTCCATTTAGATTTCTATTTGCTTTTATCTGAAGGTATTGACAGCAGGCACTACTCATTTTGGCCCTTAGCAGTATACTAGTATGGCTTTGTTCAAAGTGGTAACAAACAGCTTCGTGTGTGCATTTTGCCTCTTCTGATAATTACTAAATTCCTGGAAAGCAAGTATTTTGTGCTTTTTAAATGTTTCATCAGTATGTGATTACATGCATAATAAGTACTCAGTAAAGACTTATATTAATGGCTGGCCTGGTACTGATTTCATTCCAATTCTATTTTTATACATATTAAAACCAGAATCAGATAGGCTTGTAGAAACTGATGCCACCCTGTGTAGTATCAGATTAAAGTTAAGAAGGATGGACTCCCTGAATGTCAGAGAAGAAATGTGTATTTCCTTAGGTGAAAAATTGAAAGTAGAGGCCTTGCAAATGAAAAATCAAGGAATAGTCTATAAAAAAACAAACCCATCTCTTTGTGGTAGTTTTTGAATTATAGTGCAATTAATGCTACTTTTGATATGAAATGTATGTCATATTAACCTACAGGTCATGGAAATGAGTAAATGTAAAAACTAATAATTGATATGGGTTATAAAACATTTGATTACAGAGCACTAACTGATCTTAATTTTCTCCTTTTCAAACACCCAGATACCTCTTGCTGCTGCACAAATGGACATTTGACAGTGCTATTGTCAAGCACTTGCAAGCATGGAGACTTCCTCGCTGCTGTCCTCCTTGAATGATGAGTGTAAATCTGACAATTACATTGAGCCTCACTACAAGGAATGGTATCGAATAGCCATTGATAAGCTGATTGAACATGGGCTAGAAGCATACCAGGAATTTCTTGCCAAGGAGCGAGTATCAGACTTTCTAGCTGAGGAAGAAATTAATTATATTTTGAAAAATGTCCAGAAAATTGCACAAAGTACAATCCATGGTACTGACAATTCCTGCGATGATACCTCATCTTCAGGGACGTATTGGCCCATTGAATCTGATGTGGAAGCTCCAGATCTTGACTTGGGCTGGCCATATGTGATGCCTGGACTCTTAGGGGGTACCCACATAGACCTCCTCTTTCATCCACCAAGAGCACAGCTACTTACAATTAAGGAAACTATTCGGAAAATGATAAAAGAAGCCAGAAAGGTAATGCTATTTCTATTTCTAAATGACTCAAATTGTGGAAAAGCACTAGAATAATATATCATGTATGTTTGTTAAAATATTCTCCGTATGTGTGAACCATGCCTATTATTTTGGCTGCCTTCTGTGTGTGTGTGTGTGTGTGTGTGTGTGTGTGTCCCGCACTGGGGATCGAGATCGAGCCTGCAATCTGGGGATATGCCCTGACCAGGAATCGAACCAGCGACCTCTTGGTGCCTGGATCAACACTCAACTGCTGAGCTACACCCAGCTGGGCTGTACTTTTTATATCTTGCAAATATCTGAGCGTTGTGAGATCCCTGCTAATGGTAGAAATTTCATTCTCTTCATAATATACATACCTCCAGGAGACCATATGTCTGTGAAGGCTAAGATATGAGGACTGTGAATGAGATGCTTTGACATATTTATAAAGTTCAAAGCACATACATTTTCCTTAAACTCTGAAAGGATATATGTTTTTAGTAGATCTGGTGAAAATTTCTTTGTTCTCAATAGGACTTGTGCCTTAATTTTTGCTGTAGATATGGTTTATGCTGGTAAATACATCATAGATTTACTTATTTCCTGAGTTGTGTGGAAATGATATAAAATCAGGCATGATAATGTAAAATTCGGAAGGAAGGTCCTGAGGTACTTCCCATTTTGGGGCCTTGGTCTTTATTAAATATTTATGTTGGGTTATAAATATCAGAAACTCTATTTTCAAGCTCATATTAAACTGTACAAATTTTCTTTACGTTAATTAAATAAAAGTTATTGAGAGTTATCTATGTACTCAGCACCGTGATAGGAATTTTGGACATTATAACAAAATTTTCTAAAGTATTTATCGAAATCACTCTAGCATTTTAAATGCATGGACAAAAAAAAAAAAAAAAAAAAAAAAAAAAAAAAAAAAAAAAGCTGTGATTTTTTTAAAGCTATAAATGTCTAGTTCTTATTTACAAATACTATTCAATAAATAAAGTTAGATCTAAAAACGTCCTTAAGATGTACACATACATGGAGTTGCTTTCTTCCATGTCAGTAAGATACAGAAATATGTGAAATGTATGCATTTATGAAGTATGTTAAACCAAGGTCCCTGAAATCTACAGAACACTGTAGATTGTAGGAGAAGCAACTAAAAGTTTTGCAATCATGTTCGGGAGATACAATGTTTTGAGGCTGATGTCAAATGTAGGCTTTGCAAAAGTAAGGTATTTTCCCCCCATATCTCTCAAATAACCTAGCATTTTTGCTGTGTTAACTTTTTAGCAGAACTGCATTAAAGAAAGCACTAATTTATTTCAATTGTTAAATATTAGCTATAGAATCAAGCACATGGTAGGTGTCCAGACTTTTATTGAATGAGCTGAACTATCAGTTCAATTTCCCAAATTGAACCATGGGTATTTTTAAAACTCTAATCTCTGATACTCTGTGAAGAAATTGTACAATTGTATTTTGTAAAACTACAGATAAAAAATTAAGGATATATATGAGTTCTTGCAAAGGTCTGGGTCTCCCATGATTTTGAGGCGCATATGGGAGAGCGGGGACTTGACTCTGGGTCCCATGGTGCTCCCCAGACTCTGACAGGAAGATTTTCATATACATTTTACTAATTTTCTTTCACCTCTGACACTTTTCTTATAGAGAAAGGGCAAATAGCAATATTAAATTATTTCCTCTAATTAATTCCCTTTTAATGTGCACAGATTTTGTGCACTGGGTCACTAGTGTGTGTGTGTGTATATGTGTGTGTGTTTGTGTGTGTGTGTGTGTGTGTGTGTGTGTGTGTGTATATATATATATATATTCTTTTTAATGTGGCAGCTATTTATTTAGAGAGACTCTAAAAAGTAATATATTCTCTTCCTGGTCATTGTCTACTGGAAACTCTGATGTGTGCTAATGAGCTGAGGGACTTGAAGTAATCAAAGTGACATAAAATAAGAAAGAATTTTACCTTTATTCAATTGACAGAGATAATTATTTTAACTCTGCAAATTGCATACATTGCAATTGAATGTATAGTATAATAGATAACTTAGTGTTGTTTTTTCCCTTCAAAGCATTGAAAAATGATTAGTTTCTACCCAGTGCAATAAATATTGAAGTCAAATGAGCTATAATATGCATGGAATATATATTTCTGAAGTATTTTGGAAATTTCTTCATATGTCACTATATTTATTTAAATATCTTTTAAGATATTTGTTATTTTAAAGATTTTTGAAGTTATTGGTCCTTTTTTCCAAGATTTTTGACTATTTACTAACCCATACTGGACAAGATCCTGTGATAATTTTTAAAATAAGACCAAATATTTTTATGAAGTTAAAGCTTGTCAGAACACATTGCTTTTTAAAGATTAAACATGGTTTTCATAACTGTCATTTGCTTAGCAGATAAGCTAGTTTCTTACATTCTTTCAGAGTCAATGGAAGCCTATTAGTTATCAGGATAAACTTTCTGATTTTGAACTGTTTTCAATATTTTAATAGAAGAAAGTTCCAAGCCCTCAAATTTCTCAGGGATATATTTTTTGGTAATCAACATTACATAACTGTGGAAATCTGAGGTCAAACAAGTAGGGCTATAAACCAACAAACAGAACCAGAAAGCCATCTCAGAGAAAATTTTAAATCCATTTCCACTGTCTGTTTGCAATTGAAATAAGGTACTCTGTCTATAAATGCCATATTATTGAAAAATCTTAAAATAATAAAAAGAATTCAAAAGCAAGTTACTTACCAACCCAAACATCTGAAGTCTGACCATAACCACCAAGTTAACATTCTAGTCCCTTGAGAAAGTAAATTAAAATAATACTCTTATCTTATGTATCTATACTGGAAATATTTTGGTTTTGAATTTCACTGATTTATATGCATTTGATGTGTTGACTTTAAATAGATAGCCAGATTTCTCAGCAAAAAATGGGTTTATTCAGGAACAGAAATGCATAGCAATTTGGGACACATGGTCTAATGGTAAACCATGCACAAATTCAGAGAACAAAGGAGACAAATATATATTTTTAAAATTTTTATTGATTATGGTATCACATAATTGTCCTCATCCCCCCATTCCCATCCCAAACCCCTCCCTACATATGCCCCAACCCCCCTGTTGTCCATGGCCACCGGCTAGGCCCATATGCATGCACACAAGTCCATGTCTTCTCCTTATCCCCACCCTCCCCTACTTTTCCTCTGAGGTTTAAGAGTCTGATCACTGCTTCTCTTTCTCTAGGTCTGTTTTTGTTCATCAGTTTATGTTGTTCATTATTTCCTCTAGATGCGTGAGATCACGTGATCCATGAAATACCCTTGTAAAAACCTAAACTGAGACAAACCATAATGGTTATGCTGAGTGGCAAATTAATCAGTCTGTAGTGAGTTCCTTTCTGGGCCAGCAGTTCTTTTGAGTCCCAATTTTGACAAATATTTTTTTTAGAGAGGGAGTGGGGGACTCAGAGGGGATGTTGTAAATAGAATTCATTGGAGGAAAATGAGAATTTGAAGTATAGTGGCTTTTCATTGGCTGAATTATAATAGTCTGTCATTGGCTGAGTGGTTGCTGGGCCAGGAGAATCCCTCTTCCTGCTGGAGTAGTAGTAAAATACATCTTCCTGTTGGAGATGGGAGTTGACAAGGAGAGGTAGTGCATGAGAAGTCCTTCCTAACTCCAATTTAAATGAAGTTATGTTCTTAAACGTTACAATTTCTACTTTAAGTAATGCAATCATTGAATCATTTGCTTTTATAAGAAGAATATAATCTTTATAATATTTTACAAAATTACAGATTTGTTTTTGTTGATTAATTTTATTTTTGTCTCTTGTCACTTGGAAGTTGTTTAGAGGGTTGGCTTTTCCCCCCTTTGCTTTTTTTTTTTTTTTTCTTTTGTATGTTTATATTTTATTTGAGAATTTTCCTTTGGGAAAATCCAATTGCAGGTAACATCTTACTTGTGCCCTAAAAGGGCCATATTTTTATTTACTGGCCCTTTTTCTATCCTATTTCTATTTTTTACTATGTGGTTGACATATTTAGGTCAACTTTATAAAGTCTGATAGCGTCTAGCAAGACTTTCCCAGATAATTATTTGTCTCTCAAGAGGTGTTCCCAAGATGATATATACATGTATTCCTAATTACTATGAATACCTCTTAGGTAAGTGTCCTCTCTAATTACTTTAAATTCACCTTTCATGAAAGGAATTTCTCTTCTAGCTGCTCAGTGGTAGATATCCAGGCATTATAACTTTTGATAGTTTTGAATATGTAAATGTCTAACCAGAATGCTATTTGCCTGCCTATTAAATCTCTAACCAGAATGCTATTTGCCTGTCTATTTCCTAATTCTAAGCTGCTTCTATGAGATGTGAATCTTAGTCTTGTGAAATATGGAATCAAAAGATACATAAGCAAAAGTCTAGTGAGAATTAGGGCACAGTAATTCTTAAGGTGCTCTGTACTGCCTCTCCTGAGTTCAGGCCTTATTTCCTCCCTGAGTCAGTGTTCCTGGGTGTGTCTGTTATGGCCTAGGGAGTTATTAGTAATACAGAGAAACATTAACTACCAGCTTGTCACACGGCTACAACTGGGAAGGTGAGCAAATGATTGGGCGTTTCCTGGGATCTGACTGGTATTATAAAAATAGTGCCAGATTAGGGGCTTGATCACCTGGGTTCTACCACTATCAAGTTATTGCATCTCCCCAGGTATCTTTATTTATTTAGTGAAATATATCAAGCAAAGCACTGTCATGTCTTTTAAGTGTAATATTCCTATCTAAATCTCTCATAGTGCTTACCAACGTAAGCACCTTTCAATGTGATATACTCCTTGCTGAATTAGTCCATCGATGAATAATTTTTATTGTGTCATGGTGTGTCATTTCCGTCTGCATTCATTTGCAACTATATCCTGTCCAACTAAATGATATTTGTGTATTCATCTTTTTTTCGACTGCAATTTATCTCCTAAT